AAGGTCGTGGTAGAGAAATAAAGATACTCTTCCAATCAATGTTATATTCACGTTTCGTATTCGACATTCAGTGTATGCGGCTAATTAGGGGAATCTGATGGTGTTTGAGAAAGGTTTCGGATTATCTAAAACACAATACAAGTTTGGAAGACAGCTGAGAATATGCTGCTTGGAAGCCGTTTTCATGCTGACTGTGAGAGAAATTTCGTTTGGTTGCATTGAATGTTGTGCTGCTAAAAGAGTAACCCTTTAAAAGTTGCCATTTCGAAAAGTTTGAATTGCATCCAATTGCATCTTTTCAATTCAGTTCCTGTTCATTTTTCTCACAATCATCTGTTTTAAACGAAATTGTCTCGGTGAAATTTTATTTGTTTCAATTCCGAGCATTGCTGTTTGGGTAAATTTATCAGTTTGAGTTGTCTGTCCGCAGAATCGTCAACGAATGTTATGCTCGTTTAAATCGACGCGTTAAAACAAGCACTTGAGTTGGATGTGATTTCGCTTCAAATTTGAGATTCAATTTCAGGAGATAAATTGATTATCGCTGCTGCTTTGGCGTTATCATCGCCCAAAACAGCGAGTTTCCATCAAAAGTATCGAATTTATCAACTTCAATTGTCTGTCCACAGAATCGATTTATGAACTCAATTCAATCAAGAATTTGTTCAACAATAATTCGATCGCAATAAACCCAAAAACATCCATAATCACGGTAACACTCACTTCCAATTCCACTTTGCAGCAATATTAATAATAATAATACATCAGAATGGCTGTATTAATTGAAACGACACTCGGCGATCTCGTTGTGGATTTATTCGTAAAAGAACGGCCGAGATGTAAGTCTTCTCTATCATAAGTTTATTTGTTTATTCACTTATGTGATTATTTTTCCTTTACTGTCATATTTTATTCAAGAATTCTTTTCATACATGCTTCCGTGATGAACGTTCCATATTTTTCAGGTAGTATGAATTTTGTGAAGTTGTGCAAATTGAAATATTATAATTTATGTCAATTCCACACGATTGAGGTTAGTTTTGGTGATCGTTGTTGTGTTCAGTCTCTTTGTTCGATTTTGTGAGTAGTATTATCGATCTGATTTCCTGCCGATTGATTCAGTGATGATGTAAGCATGAAGTAAAAGTTCATTGTTCTCTTCTCCATCCCAGAGAGTCACTTTTGTAAGTTTCGTTTGATTGAAAAGATAGTTGATTATTGTTTTCTTGCAGTAATTTATTTCATTCCAGCAAAATTATGTCGCACAAACTGGTGATCCGACTGGAAGTGGTACGGGTGGCGAGTCAATCTTCGCGTAAGATTCTATTATTATTTGTTTTTTCTTAGAAAACATGATTTTGACTAACCTAGATATGAAAATATGATAANGTTTTCTTGCAGTAATTTATTTCATTCCAGCAAAATTATGTCGCACAAACTGGTGATCCGACTGGAAGTGGTACGGGTGGCGAGTCAATTTTCGCGTAAGATTCTGTTATTATTTGTTTTCTCTTAGAAAACATGATTTTGACTAACCTAGATATGAAAATATGATAAATTCATCATATGTCAGAGTCGTTTTGAGTTGTATGAACGTGTTGAATTTGTTGATGATAGAAGAATGAAGAATAAAGTTGTAGAAATATCTTTCTGAATTTCATCAGGCATTTCAGGTTGATGTACGGTGATCAGGCGAAATATTTCGAGCCTGAATCGGTGCCGAAAATGAGGCATACACGAATGGGTATTGTCTCAATGGTCAACAACGGTTCGGGCATGCTGGGTAGTCAGTTCTTCATAACTCTTGGTTTGTTTTACTCTATAGCGATTGGATAAATTCGTTTGTGTTAATTGCGTTCAGTTGCATAGCACACCCTTAATCTTTTTTCACTTTACTAATATATTTTATGCAACATTCAGGTGATAATCTGGACTATCTGGATGATAAGCATACAATATTCGGTCAGGTCACCGAAGGATTGGAAACATTGCAAAAACTGAACGATCAAATTTGTGATGAACATAATAAACCTTACAAAGATATAAGGTACTCTAGCAAATAACCTGATTCCTTATTTTATTTCATTTGTTATCATAAGTATTCGATTGTTGAATTAATGGCGATGAAGATTTAATTATTATTGTTGTTCTTATCGTTACATCTATTCCCGTGTTATGATAACTAACAAAACTCATTTTGCTACAGAGATAGTATTTCGTTGAAATTGCGTTGCAATTCTACGTTGTTTGAAATGTTCGATTTAAATGATTTCTATTTGAGGATATCGCATACAATAGTATTGGACGATCCATATGAAGACCCACCGCAATTGTTAAATAAATATCCATCAAGGTCTCCATCGCCTACACTCGATCTCATCACCGTTAGTGTTTCGTTTATTCACTCAGTACCAATTTGTGATATGTTTGGACTGAGTAAAATATAACACGTCTGTCTCATATGCTGAATGATATTATACACCAAGTATTCTCACTGGTCTGTTGTTTTATGACTAGTCGTTATGATTATTCCACTTGTATTCGCTGTATTGCAGTGTCTTTGATCAGATCATTCTAATATTATGAATGATGAGTAGTGATATTGCAAAATTCAGTTTCAGCCGTTTGATTAAGCGTGTCATTATATTGCTTTGGACAGTAATGATAATAGCATCTATAAATTAAAGGCATCGCAAATAGCGCTGGACGAACGGCTGAATGAGGATGAAGGCAAGACTGAAGAGGAGATCCGCAAGGAAATGGAAGCGAAAGATATGGCTGCTCAGGCACAAATTCTTGAAATGGTTCGTTTCTTCGTTATTCATCAGACATTTATTATCTGATCACATATCCATTGGTATCATCTTCAGTATGTATTATTCGGGTAGTTGTACGTATTATAAAATTGTAATCAGTTTGTGAATCATATATGAAAACACTATTACGTAACCCAATAATATCAGTTGTCCTCATAAGAATACGAGTGATAAGGCACACCCAGATCATTTACAGTCTTATTTAATACTACTTATTAGTATTTTATTCTGTTTTTAGAAAAAGTTACTGATAAATTAATCGTTAAATTTAAGAGAAAATGATATATATGAGTTCACACCTAAAATCATATTTTCATAGTACGATCATTTGAGAATATTCGGCATGGATGATGAGTAAGTATTGATTTGTTAATTAAGGTTGGTGATTTGCGCTACGCGGACGAGAGACCACCAGAGAATGTGTTGTTCATTTGTAAATTGAATCCAGTTACAACTGATGAGGTGAACATGACTCTATTACGGATGTTTAATAGTCAAGATCAAAGTGATATTGAATAATAATTGATGACTGCAATTGAAATCAAATCAAATTGAGCGGAATGCTTCATTATTCAGTTCAATTCAAAATTTATAGGATCTAGAGATAATCTTTTCGCGTTTTGGTGCGATTAAATGCTGCGAAGTGATACGGGACCGTCGGACGGGTGCTTCATTGCAGTATGCTTTCATCGAGTTTGAAGAGGTTTGTTCATCGTTAATTCAATTGACGTTGTTGTTGTGGTGAATGGTTATTGTTATTATTATTATTATTGTTATTATTATATTATTATTATTATTATTAGTAGTAGTAGTAGTGCTGATAGTGTCTTTATATATAATCGTTTTTATTGGTATCACTATTGTTGATATCACCGTAATAATCAGTTGATATTGCTTATACTTCATATTTTTCAAAAACTGGTTCATGCATACTGTAATGCTCGACTGTTTTACCTCTGGATGATCAAATTCACTTTGGAGACGTATCTAAGAAGTTAACTTTATACGTTTTTCAAGCACATTCGGCTAGTTGTATGTGTCATAAAGCTTAGTTTCAGTACTGATTCATTGAAAATATTGATGGTATTATAAGAGTATCAATGAATGAATACAATCAAGTTCAGGAGAAAAGTTGTGAGAATGCGTACTTCAAAATGGACAATGTTCTGATAGACGATCGACGTATACATGTAGACTTTTCACAGTCCGTTGCGAAAAATTACAAATGGCATCGGAAAGAAACTGGTAGGTTTTAGTTGTTTTAATTATTCATTTATTTGATCATTCGTTGGTGTTTTCAAGAATACAGTTTCATCAAAGCAACTTTATTGATGATCATGATAATGGCTAATGAAGAGAGTTTTTGATTTAATCAAAATCGTGATTTTATATGATCAGTTTTAATTATATATTTTTGATGTAAGTTAATTGATAGTACAACGTTTGCATTTGTTACAATTGTATTAGAACGGTTATATTAATACAGTGAATGATATTCCTTAACAAATACTGCATGAGATCATCGGAAAGAGAAAAGACTGCAAAGAAACTAACAGCGGAAAGATGTTTAAACTAAAGCGGAGAATTGAATCTCAAAGAGTCACCGGGCTCGGCAACATTGGAACAGTGCAATTCCGAAGTTGAAGAGCCGATGGCTCGATTATCAGAAATCGCGTCTCTGGTTTGAACATGAAAAGAAAACGAATAAATTAGAGAGTGTGTCAGAATCTTACAATTAGTGATAATGGAATCCGCATAGTTGTGTAAGAATCATAATGAAGTGATGAACAACAGACACGAGTGGAATGAATTGCCTGAGTGATAATATTAAAGAGAGTAGATAGTAAAGATGAAGTTCAGCTATGTGATCGTGCAAATCAAATAGGGTATGGGTTAGTCGTGTAAAGTGTTTGCCACAAGCATATGATTATTGTGCAAATTGCGATGGTTATTAGCATCATTGTTGTGCTTATCGTGATAATCATTCGAACGAGCTATGCACACGTGTCGATAAACCCGCATTTTCATATCAGTTCGTTCGTATGCGCATTCATGATCGCGATCACATTGACACCTGTAATTATTGGTATTGTTCACGGTGGATTAACCTAGTGACGAGTAAATTTGACTTAAGTCTTTCTTCGATATAAGTCGCCTCTCCTGGAATCAGTTGTCGACGTAAGGTGAGGTATACATACAGTACATTATTAGGTGTTGGATTTTAATGGCAATGCACGGTGATTATACATACAGAAAATTAAGCAATATTGTATGACACTGCTTCAAGTGCCAGATAAGTTGAAAATTTTTGATTGATCAGTGGCATTTTATGTAAATCTTATCGCCATAACAGTATAATGCAAGAATTTGTTCTTGTTATGTTTATTCACATATAGTTAGCATATGAACAAGCAGATAGGAAATAAGTATTTATTGATGTTTTGTGTTCATTTGCTGAAGTAAATGTCAAATGTTCAATCATTTTCACTTTATTTGAATGCAAAACTTTATTCAAACCACACATCTGTATGTAATACGTGCGATCGTCCACTTTCTCCTCTCCCCCAGAACAAACGCACACAAATAAGAGTGCTTGAATAGATCAGTCTTAATCTCAAAATAGACTATCAATGTTCGAATACGCTAACTTTCTGTTAACACGCCGTGCAATTAGAAACCACTGGTTATAAGCAATGTTTACTGTGTTTTCAAGCGCATATGAAGAAATATAATGAACTCATTTAAAATGAGTGGCAATAACATGGTCATGTCTACGCTCTTAGCTGTCTCATATATTGTTAGATTGTATCTAAATTTCGGTAATAATCATGTGCTATATATTGTTACACATCTACATAATCACTCAAAAAGATATGTACCAATAGATGCACGTTAGATAAACCGTCGTCAAGCATTCATCGGTACATATGAATGTGGACTACTTTATGGATATGTCCAAATCGTTTCTGTCTCTCTTTTTTTATAATTCGAAACAGTGAGCTTTGCAACTAACCATGATTTGACCCATTTCAATGGTGCTCCACCGTTCAGCGAGAAGCTGTAGAAACCGCATGGCTCTCTGAATGGTATGCATTCGGGTGCATCCGGATCAAATTCTGGTTCCTGAATGCAATAATTTTCTATTCAAATCTGTAGAAACCGCATGGCTCTCTGAATGGTATTCTAGTCAAATCTCCTGTTTGCTTTCTTGTCCTTTCTTTCCCCTTCTCTTTCTTTCAATCACACCACGAATTTAATCATTTTGTTATTAGAATTTTACGAATGATTTCTCAAGAAACAATTAATTTGAAATTATTTATCTGTTCTCAATTTATCGTCAATCACATTATCGGTTGCTTTTGCAACTGAATAATTTCAACCACTCAACGGTATGTTTATTATAGTTTCGTTATGTTTTGTCGCTGATTTAACTTACTGATTGTTAATCGAATCAAAATAGTTTCAAGTGATAAATACGAAGAAATGATTTTTAAAATGAGTAAACAAAATTCCAATTCAACGAAATAAAAACGGCATTTGAGAGAGCGTTGAAGAAAGCAAACAAATTCTAAGTGAACGAATGAACAAACCGGAAACAGATTTGGATGCATTCTGGCTGCAACGAATTTCTTCCTTTTGAACGCATCGCAGAATGTTACTGTGAACGTTATAATCACTATCACAGCACTCAATATCGATAATTTATTCATTAAAACTGTTGTATTCGTTAGAAAACGTCTGAAATAATCAGCAACTCATAAGGATTATTCAACAGTTTTGTCGTTTTTTATACACTTTCACTTTCAATTACAATAAGCAATTGATATGATTCGAAATGAGTTTTGAATGTATGCGAATGGTGAATGAGAATTGTGATCACTGATCACTTCAATGAGTCAATGTTGACTCTTCTCAAATGAGTACTAGTGATGTACATGCATATTCTCAACATAAATGCACTTATACCAATTTCACTCTAATCTAATGCTCATACACAGAAAAAATTTAGTTCATGTATATGATGTTCTTTTTGCAAAAGTGAAATAAATTGCTTAGAGACAGCATCAAACTGGAGTAAAAATGGTATGTGTAAGAGAGGTTCCAAACTCGTCCCCATGAAATATTATACAAATACAATTCGTTACAAGGTTTCTCAACCCGGAGTGCCCACACCCCAAATGATACAAGATGGTATTCCAGGGGGTACGAGATGAGCTTCTATTTCTTATACATTGAAATAGGCCGGGGCGGATTTCATCGCGTACATGTGTATAAAGTAAGCGAGGATCGACTTTAACGTGTACAATTTTAAAAAGGCTAGAACGTACTCTAATGGTATACACTGCAGACAATTGGTGTAGTGGATGAGAGATGGGTACAAGGTGGATTTTGTGAGGGGTGCGAGGACATTCTAAATTTTTCTGGGGGTTCCGGGGAGGGGAAAAAAGTTCGAGAACCGCTAATTTATTGGGTATCCTCATTTGAGGGTCGTTGACATTAATTGATTAAGCCAGTGTTTCGCAACCGTTCTCACCAGCAATAAATCGTGCGCTGACAATTTATCTTTATGGAGACGAAATTCTCTCGCTGGGCTTCAAACTCGTCCCATTACAGATTGTTGGGCCGGATTGGCCCGATCATCCGATATTCTCGCCCACCAGTGGGCTGCATCACTTCGATTCAGGACTGTAGGTTAAGCAACAAATGGTCGGATAAAATACACGCAAGCATGATATCTAGAGCGTTGAGAGTTTGACTGTTCGATTAAATGAAACGAACTGAATGAATAGTCGTTGAAATTTATGGATGGGAAATTGCCTCTCGTTCATTTCAGAAAATGCGAAAGAGAGTACGAGTCGAGTGGAAAAGCCAAAGCAAAAGAGTTATGACGATAATGATGGTGAAAAGGAGCGCAAACGACCGGTAAGTGCAAAATTTTGTCGAATGTCGGTGCTATTGCATCATAAAAGTGATATGACGTTAATTTTTTGTGCATTGCGTTGAAAAACGGTTTTGTTCGATGCAATACACAAATAATTATTCGAATCGTTTGCAAACGAGAAGAATGTATGGATTGATTTGCATTAATCTGAAGAATTATTGAAGTGTTTCATTGCGTTTCACATTCGTTCAAAGTAACAATCGAATTTATCAGTCTATCAGCTTGCTGATATCAAAACCAACGAAGATCAGTCTGTATCAGTTGAGCTCAAACCTAAGCCATTACTGTAATTCAACACTTTCTGTTAGCTTCTTGCTCGAAGAATTTTTTCAAAAGATATTCGCGTCCTTTTGGGGCACCTTGATTGTGAGCCATAACTATAGAAATGTCATCTATTCCCTCGCAAAGGAAATTCTCAGTTGTTGACTAATAATATATTGTATGGAATATAAGGTATGTTCTTGAACGAAATCGATCTTGTAATTAAGTTTGTATCACCCACAATGGTCCTGTAATCGAAATCGGCTTTTCAAAAATATGAATTTTGTTGACAGCGAACAAGCATCAAATAGTGTAATTGTTAGACGATTGAGAATCTGAAATGAATTTACATCGAATAAAGTGGCTATATGGAATGTTGTAATATTTGGGTGGTCATAAGAAAATGTATTGTTCCTGTGGAAATGTTTCGTAATAAATATATTCAGAAGTGCACCGTAGTTGATAAATTAGACAGATTAATGCTTTTCCATGCAAAACAAACAGATAAGGAATGACGGGTGGAAGGATAGAGCAAACGATGAACGGCGGAAGAGGAACAGAACGACGAATGATAAAAGGACATCAGAAGGATATTCATCTGGGAAGAATCGTGATAATGCCACTGATAAAAATGATCAATCAACGACTAAACAAAGAGTGCGATCGTCAGACAATTACAGCTCTTTTAAACGGTTCGTTTAATGTTCTACAAACGGTGTCGTTCTTATCGAACTGAATCAATTCTGACTGGTGCGTTATTAATTCGTGTAAATCATTCAGTTTGCACTCGTGAACTAATGAATCTCACATTGTGAAATTCAATGATTTATTTCGAAATAATTTTACAGATGTGTGAAACTGTGATAATTTTTTACTTGTTTCGCAATTTGTGACACAAAACAATAGGTTACAAAATTAGGAGAAAAACATTTATATGAATGAGAGCTGACAGAAGAATTTTTGGTGTTTTATTGTGGAGAAAATTTCGAAAGCAACGATAGGGAAAAGAAAATGTAAGAATGAATGTGTGGAAAGTTTTGAAGACTGAAGCGAATCAATTGCCTTCATTATCATTAGAAGAAAGCTGATCCATTTGTAGTGATTTTGATGAGTGGTCATAATTTATATGATAGAAAGATGGATAGGAAGTGAGAGGAAGTTTTCGTTTTGAACAACATTTTAAGAAAAATGTCCATCACAATAGCAGAAAAAGAATTTGAAGAAGATCGTATTTCGTTTTTGAATTAACTTCATTCGAAAAGTGTCATCGTGCTTAAATTTAGAGTAGGCGTGAACGGTGGAGTACTTTGGCATTTGCTTTACTTTTATGTTTAAAATGCCTTGTGTTTATGTTTGTGTGTGTGTGTGTTTGCATGTGATCACTGTTTAGTTTCATTCCCGTTCAATCGAATAATACCTACCAGGTAGGTAGTTTTCGTTCAGCATTCGATGGATTTTGCAAAGAAAATTTGTTTTGCAAAAAAAAGAACTGATGAATTTCCGTAAATAATACGAAAATTTTATGAGGAAATTGAATGTGAAATAAACGAAAATTCGATAGTCGAATGGAGAAGTGAGCGGTGCGTTTTTTGAATGGTGGTGGTTGGACTGGTTTTTTGAGATTCAAGTCTGTCAAATTTGTGGAAATTTGGTTTGGCAACTCATTAGATTTATCAGTCAGAATTTTGTGCGTTTGAAAAAGTCGAAATTTTAGTGCTGAAGTTAGGTCACCGGAACGGATAAGGAGGGAAGAACGTTCAAGTGGTGATGAACGTCGAACGACGAGGGATCGAGATAAGTCGACTGGTAGCAGTCATCATAGGGAGAGTCATCATCATCGACGTGAGCGCAGACAAGATTCGTAGCGAAGTGATTATATTGGTGCTTGGTTACCAATCGGATAGTGTTCGTCAGTTGATTGATTGCTTTTGTACTGAGCTGTTGTTGGAATAGGATTTGTTGTTATTATGTGATTGTTGTGTTATATGATGTCAAAAGGGGATACACCACGAAAAGCTGATTAATTGTATTGAAAAGCTGACGTTCTTTGACGTTCAATGATTTGGATCATTCCGAAAAAAATCATTTCTTCAGAAGTGTACGAATTGGCACTGAATGACACGTGAAGAATGACATGTTCGGTAGATGATGTGATGATATCGCATGTCATGTCGCAAAATTGAGCAAATGAAACTAATAATTAATAATAATCAAAATTAATAATCAAGAAAGAGCAATTGAAAACAAAACTGAAAGAGGACTTTACTGTTGATAGCAAAATAATTTTTGTTTTTGGATAAAGAGTAGAAAAATGTTGGAAGAATTATTCGAATGATGGATGCGTTGTGGAAATAAGTATTTTTTGTTGACGTATTGCGAAAAGTTACGACGATTTTCAGAAGGCCAAGGAGTCACTTTTTGAGAGAGTGAAACTTGCGAATGTGAGAGGCGATTTATAAAAGTGTTGAGTGCTTAGTCTGAGAGAACTGATGGAGTTTTGAAGCTGAGGAGGAGTTTGATTATGAGGATTTGAACTTGATTTTGAGATTCAGATTAATACTGAAAGATGAAGAGGAGGAGGAGCACTCTCAAATGGTAATAATTATCCGTTAGTGATCGTCGCAGTGCTGATGGATGGTGGGATTGAGGAGATAAACAGAATGTGAGATTATGATTATTGTTATTGTGACGGTTAATGATGTGCATGCGTATGTCACCCAATAAACGGCACTCTGAATGCATCGTCGTTATCTTTGCAAGTGACCGTAAGCGCAGTTGTTCGCAAAAAGAAATGATGACGAAGAGAATCGGAATCAAGTTCCACATTATACGCACAAAACAATTCCAAAAAGCGGTCGTCTTCTCATCTTTGTGTGTATAATATTTTCATCAGTGGATAGTATTGAGTTTAGAAAAAATGACTGGCACGATGAGAGCAGAAATATTTTGATGCAGCCATATAAACATGGACACCATGTGAGCGATTTGTAGCAGAAGTAAGTGCTACTAGTAATAATAAAATTTCGAGAAATCAAATTATCTTTGGACATGTTAAATTGAGTAAATATGTGCAGGCTGGATAGTCACTGATAGGAATTTCGAAGCCGATTGGTTCACGCAATTGAGCTTCGAATCGAGCGAATTGCACTTTCACAAAAAATCATGAGTGCACTGCACAGTATCATCGATAACTAATCGGAAGATACTTTGAACTGTTTCATGTAACGAGTATGTCTGTCTGATCGTGTTTGTTTTTGCATCGTTACCCATTCAAACATGCGTTGTTTCAGTGGAAAATGTAATCGAAAAAAACTAAAGCAAATCATCAAAAAAAAAGAGAATGAAAAAAACGATTGGAAGAAATGAATGTTTTGATGTATGTTAGCATCAAATTGTTGATAAAAGATATGAAGTAAATAACGAACTAAAGATTTACTGAATCATTGGACGAGCAATAAAGTGAACTGATTGACGACGGATGAATAGGTGAATGAATAAGAAATTCATTTCAAAATTCATTTCAAACGACTGAATACTCAATTACCGAAATCGAAGAACAATTCAGGTGTTTTACTATGTGACGTTGTTATTGTTAATGTTATCTTAAAACAATACGCCTTCCTATAAACTTCTTATAAGTGCGAACAGCATTCATATAACATAAGGCGTGAATATGGTTGTACTGCAATTAATGATTCTTGTTCTCCATAAATTATCCTAAGTTCATATTTATCGACTTAATGAGAAACAGCATTTGATCACTACCATTGTTACATTCATAAATAATGATCTTAAATGAAGCAATCAATCAAATCTTCATTGTTCCATGGCTACTGCTAATTCAGATTTCTGTTATTGCGACTATTTTACTCATAATAAATAACCAGTAACGATTTCAACATATGGAGTATCACTCGTCATGATGTAACTATGCAATACGATTGAAAATTGCGGTGCGAAAGACTTTATTTCAAATCGTTAAGATGATTTGAAGTTCGTGACAATGAATTAACTCAATCAGCAATAAAACGAAATGAACGAAAGTGATAACTGAATCGCCGATTGCAAACATTCAACGCTTTATATACTACCCCTCTCAGCTGTTCGCTCACATTCATTTGTTCGAATTTATTGAAGAACAATGTTATTGCTTAACACTTCGTGGAATATTCAATTAATTATTCTTAAAATAGCAAATTATTCAATTCATCATACGAGTTTATACAGACGTTTACTAACTATCTCTATTCAATGAGTTGACCTTTTCGTCACGACAATGTCAATGATCGTAGTTAATAACAATAGAAAATGAAAATGAGAATAATAAAATATAGTAATATCAATAATAAGTTAATATCAGTAGTGATATCACCATGCGTGAGTCTCGGTATCCACAAGCAATACTTCATTTCGAAGTAGACTATTGTCGGTGATGTTGACGTCAATCGGATACAAATAATCGGTATTGACTGGAATGGACACTGGCAAACCATGGTTGTTATGAGTTCAATCAGTATTACATCGAAGAAGATTCCATGAACGATGGAAATGTTGTTTTGTTTATTGCGAATATTTGAACTGAGAATGTTGCGTACTATTTCGAACATTCCCGACAAAATCAATTGCACACCATTAGGATAACGGTTACTACGGGTATGAGACAAGCATTCGATTATTCTATTACAGCAACAGCAGCGAGAATTTTAAATTTTACTTTTATCAAAATATGACAACAGCTGACTGCTTTTATAAAATTGTGCCCTGATGATGAGATCATTACTGAATCGGGAGTGGGATCTTTAGGCTTCGCTTGCGCACATATTTGGTGATCAAAGTTACTTCAGTTCGTTGAGTATACGAATACAGCGGATGTTCATCCATCAGAAGAGCAATCATTTGAGTTGTCAACCAATAACTTTCAGCTATCGAGATGCATCTGAGTTACTAAATACATCACTGAGCGCTTCCGCTTCCATTTCACTGCTAATTGTAAGCTCTACACAATTTATCTCTGTGCTGATCTATCAGCTCATTACCAAAGGTCATTAGTAACTTGTTTTTCAAATAGGCTACATCCTTAAGCTTGTTCACGTCAGCAACATGCGATCTCGTTAAACAATCTAACTCAGAAGATTCTTTAGATCCCAAAACGCGTCTCGATACATAATGCTCAGTTCTACAGAAATGCGCAAATTTCCAAAGGTATATCATCCACGTAAGTGATCGCATTACATTGCCTCACTGTGTACACTGTATCTCACAGTTGATCGATTAGGAATATCTGGAGTACCACTTTCATACTTGATGTATTCTTAGGTTTGTTTAGCAACACACGACGCTTCCTTCACACAATCGGATCCAGAAGATTCTCCGTTGTCGGAACTTTTTGTGTGTTCTCGATGAAGAATGTTCAGTTCCACGAAATTACTGAAAGTTCTAAAAATAAGTCAATAATGTACGCATGATTTCATAACACTATTGGATGAACTAGAGCCGATTTCATCTGAAAACCACACATATTTAGAAGCCATATTGCTTACTATTTGCTCCAAAGATAACAAGTTATCTCGTCGCTATCCTAATTTCAGCACTAAATTTTTCATCAGTTAAGCTGTGCTGCTGAGGACCATTAATCCTTCCCGGGTTTCCTTCATATCATCATTTGACAAGGAACATCTCACCATCAGCTATCAGCCTGTTGTAGCGAAGAAAGTGAATTCTTGAAAACAGTTGAATGAGTGTTTTTGTTATTCTCTCTATTCCAATTGTTCACATAGTATACAAGTAATAATCTCAATTAAGAGCTCTATATGCACAATAAGTGAAACTTCAAATTCATCAATGAAAAAACTGAACTGAATTTATTTGCGCTCAGTTGTCAAAAAACATCGTAGTCATACTGAAGGAGTCATTTGGAATGAATTTGACTTCGTATGCGTTCCGCCTATTAGTGATGAAAGAATTTGGGCAGTCGTTTATTTTAGATTTGGAAGAGGTATATTTGATGAGGTGAATTTCTTTAATTGACTCATCCAAACTTGAAATGATCCTCAACCAAGTTCGTTTTGACAGTCCCATCGATGGCTACGTCCTTCCTATTGTGGATATTTTCTTATCATTTATAGCATTGCGATATAGCATTATCGCTGGCACTTTACTATTGCTCGATTAGTTTGAAAAATAAATTCTATTGATCTGAGTCATCTCGATATTGTTTTCGGCAGAATTATCACTCTGACATTTTATTCTATTCCAAACCGCCATTCGTTACTGAATGCAGTCATCATTTCTGCTCAGTCTCTCGAATCTTATCATTTGATTGAGGTATTCGGATAGTTTCACTGAAAATCATTTGTATTTTTAGCTGTAACGTGATATTTGAATGGTAATTTGTGGACAGCCACTGAACGTATGTAAATCATTTTCGAGAACTCGTATGTTTTGATAATTTTAATCTGTATAATTCTCACTCCATTCTTTCACACATTTGAACTCGAATCTTCAAATTAATAACGGTTTTTCTCGATGATTTCTTAAGGAAATTATCGCCAAAACTTGGGAAATTATGAAAAGTGTCAATATAATGCACATCAGACAATTGTCACTCATCGCTCTTATCAAACTAATCCAGATTGCGAGTCTGCAAAGGTAATGTTCAGATAGGGAGAGAAGATTTTGCATTGATCATTTGGAAACGTTGCTTAGGTCATACGGCCATTCCACTTGATTTAGCTCATATAAAGTAAACAAACTGTTTAATGAAAACAGAGATTTTGCTGATGCATTCATTGTATAATTAAGTGAATTCAACTGAAATAATTTCAACAATATGGATGAATGATTGAGTTTGATATATCGAGTACGA